AATTTTTTCCAAGCTTCAGAATCTGCAGGATATCGTAGAACTCCATCTTTGTTGCGCTCTTCATGATGCCAACACATTGCTTTAGAAGTTTCCGAAGACATAAATAGTCATTGTAGCCTTGGTTTTAAAGGAAAATACCTTAGGACCTTGGCTGGGATTTTTCTATCATCATTTTTCCATCTAAAAGATCCACAAACATTGCATTTATTGACATTCTTATTAGTAAAATCTTTCCTAAAAAGCATGCAATCATTGGGACAAGCATGAATTTTCTCATACTTTAAGCCCAAGACTTCAACTATCTTTTTGGTCTCATAGAAAGGAGGCAATTTTTCTCCTTCAGGCAGTGCATCCTTCAATAGTCCAAGCAAAGCATTAAACGATTCATTTGACATTTGAACATGCATTTTGTACGGTACAAATGCATCAAAAAGGATATTTTGCTAAATTTCTTACATCCTGGATATAGTTCTTCATTTGCCTCCTTCATGAGCCGTTCAAACTTATCCACCTCTAGATGCGGTTGATTTCTAGATGGATGAGCAATATTCTCTTGTAAGTTATGCTCTATGTCACCCCCTTCACTAACGTCGGTATCCATGAACTGTGTAAAGCCTCCAAAGGCATCATGTATCATTCCTGTCATATCATAGCTCCTTAAAATTGACTGACTGCGATTATTTGCTTGAGCATTGTTTGATCCCTTTAGAGTCTCACCATGACAAAACCAAGTATCATATGATGACATAATACCATTAATCACAAGATGATCATATGCTGCAGTCCGATTTACTTGATGGATAAGCATACACTCCGTACAAGGACATGCAATTTGTTCTCCATCTTGTTTTTCAGAAAAAAGTTTATAAACTCCTCTACTACATCCAAATATTCTTTACTAACTCTATCACAATGCATTCATCATTTATTTCTAGGATTGTCCATGACGTTCAAGATATTCTTTTTTGTTCTATACTTACTGCAAGAACTAAAAATTCATTAGTAAAAAGAGGAAATTAATAAAAATATAGTTCAAATAAAATAACCATCTTATTAGTAGGTAATTCCATAGGTCAAAGATATCATTTTAAGAATTAAAACTATTAAACAGAAATCCATTAAAACTATCAAATAGTTAAACTATCTCTAATTTCTTCTATGGTTTCCATATATTGGTTCATTAACTTTTTAAGAATAGAATTATTAAACTTATAAATTATACTTCTTCTATGGTTTATCGTAAACTATTTAAAAATAGAATTATTACTTATAAATTATAGAAGTACCATAAGTCACATATTTTAAAATTGAAGATATTACAATTGTCAAACCCTCATTGTATATGGATATGAGCTAGCTGAATAATTTGCAAATATCAGCAATGATACAACAATTTGCAATTTTAGAAATCTGAATAAGGTCATTCAAAGGCACACATTATTATCTTGAAGTATGATGTGTTATCATCCCTTATAAAAGATGATGAATTGTTGTACTACAATCCCTAAGTAAAGCAGAAAAAAGTTGATAGTTCAAATTTTTCTCATGGTCCAACTTCTTTCTTCACTTCACAAATTATTTATTCTTTCGATAATTTTTCTTAACTTCACTGTTTTGCCACACTCATAGCGAAAATTGAAGTGTAGATTGTTAGATAAATTGAAAAACTTTTTGATTAGTAAAACCAATAACCTATCGGAGAAACAGTTAGAGCAAACGGATTAAATCAGTCAAGCTAAGCATATGCTTATTTCGTACAGAGGCATCAGATTTATGAAAATAAGAAAAGCTCGCATCAATTAGCAAAAAAAAAAACAGTATGTATGTCAACTAGTGGATTCATATCCCGACTGGTGGTAGATTCAATGAAAACATCAATATGCATCGACGACACTTAAAAAATTTCTGAATAGTCGCAAGAATAATAATAGCCTTAGAAAATATACAGAGGAATCAATTCATAAAATAGTAGAGGAACAGAGGAGGAATGAACTCAACCAATTGCACATCAATTTAACAGCAACCCGTTATCACAAACGACTTAGCATATGCAGAAAAATTGGAGAAGACAAAAGCTCACAACACATAGGAAAATTGCAATGCAGACATTAGAGCATTGTGTTTTTGCGCTAGGCAGTGATAGTTACAGCATGACACAGTTTGATTCTTATTTTTGCAGTATCTATAAAATGCAGATTTCATTGGACAAGAAATATAGACCAAAAAAATACTGAGAACAGCCATATAACATGATTTTTACTAGATTAAATTACACAGAATCTATTGTAAATCAACCGACAAGCATCAATCCAAAATATACTGTAAATCGATTGCAGGCTACTGATTTAACAGCGGAAAAAGAGAAGTTAACAGGGGAAGAAGATGGACCGGCACTACAACAGGTTGTTGACGGAACAACGAGTTAGGAACTGATTTATTGTAAATCAATCGACCAGCATCAATACAAAATCTACTGTAAATCGATTGCAAGGAACTAATTTACTGTAAATCTATTGTAAATTGATTGGAAGAAGAGAAGTTAACACTGCCATTAACGCACTGTAAATCAATTTGAACTGATCTTCTGTAAATCGATTGTAAAATCGAAGACAAGAGAATTTACCTGGGAAGAAGATGTGCACTGCCATTGACGCACTGTAAATCGCACTAGCGTTGATGCAGCAGCAAGTTAGGGCTTTTTGGTAGCGAAGTCGATTCAACTAGTAAGGGAAACGATTCAATGTTTTCCTTCTGTTATTTTCTAATTATTTTCTAATTGGGGAGGGAAACGAAAAAAGATATTCAAAAAAAATTGGAGGGAAATATTTTCTCTTCTTTGTGAGGAGGGAAAGTTAAAATAATAAAAGATTAATTTCAATTAGTAATTTTTAGTAGTTATTATTTTTTATTGCCGGTAAAAGGATATCTTTTGCTAGCTAATGGTCATATGCCGCTAATATTTAAGCTTAAAGAATTTATTAACGACCATTGCCTTATTGCTTCTAAATAATTGCCGCCAAAGGTCCTTTTTGTAGTAGTGACTAGTGGGGGAGGTAGTCTCTCGATTGCAAAAGCAAAAAACAAGTCCCTAGCGAAGTCGCTAAAAGGAAGAAAATCGACGACCATCTTAAGAAAAATCACATAGTAAAAAGGGGAAAACTTACGAGCGAAGTTCCATGTCTCTGGAAACCTGCCGAGTTTGCCACAAGGTACTCTATCCGCACATAGAAGTAGCTTTCCCAAAAGCGTCAATTGGCCTTATCGTCCATCTTCACCACCAAACTCTTGGTTCCTCGATGGCGCATATGAATCATCGTACCCCGAAAAAATGAGGGGCCAGGATGTGGAGCATGTACCCTAGGGAAATTCCTTGGCCGGCCAGCTCCACATACTTGATAGCATAAGAAAGAGCTTGTATGCATACGAAGAGAGTTGAGCAGGGCACACTTCATAGAAGCAGCAGAAATCCACTACTAGAGAAGGAAGGGGGAACGTGTACCCGATAACAAAGGGATATGTGTAAAACATGCAGTAGCCCGTGCGGTGCAAATGCACTATGTTCTGCCCCGCCGGCACCATTTCGATATGATCGGGGATTCCCCACTTGGCTTTGAGCGCCGTGATCGCCATATCATCCATAGTGGAAGGAGCGAGCTTCGGTTCATCTCCGGCAGGGCTGTTAAAATAAGTCCTCATCTTCCCCCGGACGGGGAACTACCTCATCCACCGTCGGAAACCCCTCATCTTCCACCACCTCTACTCCCTCTTCGAGTAGGGATACATCACTTTCCGGTACTGGAGCACCAAGAGCTTTATCAGACTGGGAAGGAACACTAGCCATTTGTCTTCTTCGATCTAAATAAACGAGAACGATGAAGGAAAAAAAGGTAATGGTCACATATTATAGCAAAAGCAGAAGTATGAAAGGCTAGAGAAGGGGAAGGAAGTTTGCAAAGTTCTTTCTTAGACAATTGAAAAGCACAACAATCAAATGAGAGGCTTCTCCCCTATTTATAGGGACATAAATGCCTTGAGCGCGAAAACGAAGAGCCGCCAATCAAAAAATGGAAAGGACACAGGAAATGATACGGTGCCTGGGAAACGTGTGCCATAATGACGCATAACAAACATTCATGATATCCTGAATTGATATGACGATGCAATTCTGAACTGATGTAACGGTCCAATGAAACTCTTGAAGCGTCACGTCGCTACCTCGCCATAAGGACCTCGTTCCTCGCATAACATGTTCAGATTTCTCCTAATTTTTGAATCAACATAATTCGCCCATTGAACTCTCTAAGAGGCAACCCCAACGGGCGGATGGACTAACTGTATGGGACCAAATCTGACCACAAATGGATTATCCTTAAAAGGAATGGTAAGGGGTTGACCAAACCATAGTCGTATCCACGTGGCGTAATAGCGACAAGTATCTTGTTCACTGCCGAGATTGAGCCATTAGAAGGCTTGCACGACAGAATATATGTCGTAATACTTGAGTGAGTAAGAAAGAGTATAGTCAAGAGGGAGTACGCTGGTTAAAGACCGTTGGATAAAGAGAAGATTGGTAATATATATATATNTTGTTGCAAACCTTTGTAATCATTATTGTTGAATCAATAAAGATAGATCTCATAGTTATCAACGACATTCTTTTTTTTCCTTCTTTGCTCTTACAAGTACAGAACAATGTATCAAAGATGTAAGCTTATCGTTACGTTTGATGTCTTTTAATCATCCTAAGAAATGTTATATAAGCTCGGTCTCATTCGATTCTTGTATTCAATATGCTTAGATCTAGAGTTAATTATGTTTGGTTACGATTTATCCTCTATTTTTTTTTATTAATTAGTTTAACGAAAAGCTTAGCACTTTTTGGTCAAACATAAAGTACCGTCTGTGCGGGTAGCTCATGACTAGAGGTGGATTCATTTTTTTAAGCTTATGAGTTCTAATTAAAATCTAAAAAAAGACAGTTTAATTATTATGTTTCGGATGATTTATTTATATATATTTAGTTAATTTCTAAATACAAATACAAAAAAGTTACTGAGTTCTAACAAATCGATAACTAAACTCTAACTCAGCCTCGGCTCATGAGGGTACATCACATATTCACATTGTACATTTTGCATATACATCGAAATCCAATATATATATCTAGTGATGTACTTCTTAGTTAAGTTTTATTTTTCCGTTCATTATATTATCAAGAAGATGAAAGGCCTAAATGTTTAAGGTGATGATGAATATCAGGAGGGTGATCATCAAGTACTCTGGGACGTTCAGGTTGAATCCAACGGCCATCTTTGTCTCTAATCATCCCTTTGTTCTCATCTTGCCTCCAATTTGGTGGAACACAGTAATGATCTTTCAAGAAATCACATGCTTTGTTTACGAGTGCTATATCCCTTCCCTTTGCTAGCACAAACCTTCTTCCTTTCCCATGATATCTGTCCACACATAAACCCAAATCAACTTTAGTATTTACTATTAAAATTTACCGACTGCTTTATATGTGACCTGAAAAATAATTAAATTAGTATATATATAGAAGTTAAACTATTTAATTTCTACTCCCATGTTCCAATTTATGTTAACTTTTTTAACTGGCACAAAGTTTAAGAAAAAATGAAGACTTTTGGAATTTGTGTTCTAAACAAGTCAAAATGGGGTCCAGAGTATTTGTGTGGTTATAAAAGTTTCTTATTAAGGGTAGAATTGAAAGTTTAAGCTAAATTGTTTCCAAATTTAGAAAAGAGTCTTTTTTTTTGTAACGGACCAAAACGGAAATATGTTTGAATAAACTGGAACGGAGGGAGTATGAGGGGAAGGACCTTTTTCTTTTAAAATTTTTCTTAATCAGAGTTTCACACAGTGTGGATTGATCATGTGATCTACTAGTAAGAGCTATCTGGAAGTGCAAAACAAGATAATTATGCCAATTAAACAATTTTGAATAAGTGATGACTCATCTTTCCCAATTGATAAAAAAAATGTGAGGGTGCCCGAGCACTTTCCTTGTTTTAACATTTTCCTTTTTGAAGTCGGCGTCTATGCATTATTTCAAATCTCAATCAATAAATATGCTGAACAGTAAAATGACTACAATTTCCCACCTGTCTACCTCACAACTACCTTTACTATATAATGTTGATTGGGGGATACCCTAATATACATATATTTTCTGTTATGGACAAGATTTTAACATGATCTCATCTCCATTAATAATTCGCACCAGAAATCTCATTCTAGCCATGCTTAAAGTACTCCTTTCAGACGTGATCTTATTTTTTATTCACTGATGGTGTGAAGTTTTTATATAGTAATCGAGTAGGTAATTTTGGATTTTTCATTTGTCCAAAATTTTGGACTAGCTCTTGGAATTACGGATTGTTTTATATATCATTTCAAACAGTAGATTTTTCAATTATTTTTGCTCGTACTAATGCCATTAACGCATTAAAATTTGCAAGAAAAAAAGAACTTGAACTCTATAGATTTAGCTCACACGATTCAGAAATTAGAAACTTAGCCGTATCGCGTTTGGTGCTAACTCAACTTAAGCTATGGCTCCAACGGATTATGCATCCTCTTATTTCAAATTAAACAATCACTTATTACTTTAAAACGATCAGAAAACATGTACTTATACGCCTAGAACTTAGAAGCTAGAATTAATTTTTCAATGGACTAATTATTTGTGTAATTATTTTTTTATACCTTCGCGTGATAAATTTAAAGTCTTTTATAATCACCGGTGTAACTCATTTTTCCCATTAACCATCAAGCCTCTCTATTACGGTAGTTTGATGTTATAGTGAATTATTGTTATAGAGGAGACATATTATAACATAATATAAAAGATTGGTTAAAAAAATGTCACATTTGTAGTGAATGACTATTATATAGAAATGTTGTTATACAGTGGCCTAACGGTATATCATTGGACGTCTGAATTCAAATTCTTGGGTTGTTAGTTATGTGGAAAAAAAAAATCTTTTAAAAAAGAAGAAAGACTAACCCGTCAAGCAAGTGTAAATGAGCCTCCAAATTATGAGCACAAACAAGATCATTAGTTGGTTTCAAGAAAGGCGAATTCTTGTGATCTAAAGCCAATTCTACTCCAACATGCGAATAACTCCACGGCAACCCTTCACAAATCTTCATAACCATTGACGGAGAATGCTCATTAAACACTAACCCAGGGGACTTTGGAACAATGTCATGAACATTCACAACTCTCAGAACTTTCACACCCAACATTTCAAGTCTTTGTTTAAACCTTGTATTTCCCACTCTTGGCCCTGCAAAGGAAAATACACCAATAGGCACAGCCCTAGTATTTGCCCTTACATTTACTCCTGTTTCCACAATATCATACGCACTCAATATTGCCAAAGCACTGCCTAAACTGTGTCCAGTCACTGTTATGCTCATTTCCTCAGTTGGGTACTTTTCTACTAATCTTTTCACCTCCGTTAGTATCTGTTCTCTTGCTGAGAACTTGCAGTACCTACATAGTACGTAGCATATAATCAATGAGTGTAACTAAACCAACGTTTTTAAGATATACACGTAAAAAAATTACTAGAGCTAAATTAAACAAATACATTAAATATTTAAAAAGTCATGTAGTTTTAATGGGTTCAACTAAATTAATGTTTTCAACAAGGAACTAGATAAAGTTAAAAAAAATCAATGAAATCTCAACAAATAAATAGTTATATATGAACGGATAACTTTAAAAGTATAATGGTTCAGTATTAAAAAAACTACTTAAATGTTGAACCTATCAAATTTAAGTTATGGATGTTACCTGCAATTCTCGTCTTTGTCAGTGTAGAGATCAAGAAACCCAGATTCGACCTTGACATTAGGATCAGGGCAAGGTATTTTGTCTGAAGATATTGGACGGAGAAAGTCCATTAAATCAGCAATCCACTCCAAACGAGTCACAGTCCCTCTCCATGAAATCGTTATGTCACGGCGGCCTAAGCGTTTCGAGGTTTCGTCATTCGAAACAGCAACATAACCAATCCAATTTGCGTTTTTGCTCCATACCTGTTGAAACATAATATAATTAAAAATATATTCTCTTTAACGGTTTAAAATTTTAGATGAAATGACCGCACACAATACCTTAGGCCAACGAGATTGTTTGAAGAAATTTGGCAAGTTAATATTTGAAGTTGCATATAGGTAACGTGTGATATCGTAGCCATAGTTGGCCATGTCTAGACCATCAAAGAATTTGTGCCGTGGAAATTTGCAGCTCCCACAGTACTTAGAATATGGATCAAAATCAAAAGCATCGTAACAAGCTTGAGCCATTTCTCCATATCGAATTAACTCATTTCGTAAAAGTGGATCTAGTGGATCAAGAATGCCTACCCAATCATCTTTGCCAAGAATTTCTAGCCAATAGTCTGCTAGTTCTGGTTCTTGAATCTTTATTGTCGTTGTACTAGTACTTTCACCTTCTTCTAATTCATCCACCATATTATTGTCCCTTTCCTTTTCGAGCTCATTGATGATAGATGTGAGAGATCGGCCAGTTTTAGAAGACAAGGAGGGTGTTCTTGTTGACAATTTGACTATATTTGGAAACTTTTGGCTAGGAAAAAAAGAAGAATAAAGCAATGAATCGGGTCTAAAACAAGTACCTTCGTGCTGATGGGGTGTACTTGTTTGGAATGTAAGAATTGAGTTAGTAAGAGAAGCCATTGAAATGTTAAAGCTTTTTCTTCTTTGGAAGATGAAACAGGATAGTTGAGATCAATGATAAGGGTGAGGGGTAATATAATGATATATATTCTTCACATTTCATCATTCAAGAGAAAGATGAAGGTTGATATAATAAGGTCCACCGAATTATTAAAAAACAATTATTTTGTTGATGTGTAGAAAAATGAAGTGAGCATGTTTCACATGGGGCCTTATATATAATCTTCAATAATAATATTCTACACCTATGAGCTTTGGAGGTTGACCTACAATGAATTCTCAAGAAGCTTCCAAATAATTAGCTTCGATTTTCTTTTTTTAATTAATGTTGATACGTGTGAAGCTATTTTAGTTTCCTCATTTCAAGAGAACTACTCCAAATATAATTTTGGTTGAAATTAAGCTACTTCCTTTCACATATGACGTGTCACCCGATGTTAATATAAAATTAATAAAGTACATAATATGTGCTATGTTGTTACTTAAGCTTTATTGCTTAACTATACTCAATTAAGAAATACTTTGACATAATATTAAACAAAATCTTTTCACACTCATTCACTTATTTCATGCTCAACATAAATATAGTAGCATCACATACCCGCTTGTAAAAGTATGAAAAATAAATGAAACTTAGCTATTAATAAAACACCTCAAAATTCATTACACGAATTCAAAATTGAGAATTGAAAAATAAATGAAAAAACAAATCAAACTCGTTCAAGTTTTTGACTAGAACTCCATATGAACTTGACAAAATCAAATTTAATGTATAGACCATGTACAAAAGGAGATCTCCTAGCAACAAATTAGCCCTTGCTTAAATGCCCACCCAAAGCATTAATGACTGACGCAAAAGGTATGGATGGACATGCCCGGCCGCTATGGTTTAGGTCGTTACATTGTTTACGTCTGCAGGACCACCTCCTATCAGTAGGACATAGCTAAAAAATTTATTAAGGTGATTCAAAATATAAAAAAATAAATACTCGAAGAAGTCAATGATATTCAACATAAAGTATATATACATATGGAAAAAATTATGTAATTTTCCAGTGACAAGAATGGCTGTGCTGCTGCATGGCTATAGAAATCATTAATGAGGCTTATTTATACACTCCTATTGTCTATATTGCTATTGGGACCACATCGATTCATCATAATTCATGTATTAAATGACAACATCATTACTACTTACATATCTCATATACTCGGTGTTTCATGAGTTCTAATTTTACAAATGATGTTGAGTTTCACTATTATTGTGACAAAATTACGCAGCAGATCTAATTGTTTATTATGTGTCCACTGGCTAGCAGATCTAATTATCCTCATATCGTTTGTTGTTTTTCACATGACAATCCGTCATTTCCACATGTTCATATTTTCTAGTATTTATCACATCTTAACTACTTTCTTGTACCTATCTCGAGTAATTCACACACTTAACTATCTCATGAAAATGATGTAAATATCTTTTGTTGTATTTCATATTATGTACAATGAAAATGAAACACCTGTCTCTGGAATTCATTGACCTTCACAAGCTTCTTCAATTAAAACCTTATTCAATAAGGGTACAATCAGATTTGCAGCGTAGTTGGAACTCTAATTTATCGAGAAGAAAATTTAAACATTATTTTCTTATAACCAAGAGAAAAATTAAACAAATAGAACGATAGAGAACAGAGTAGATCATGATTCATTATAATCTTTGCTGTATTACATGTAAACTTTGTTTTTAAAGAATTTGGGCCAATATGCTGTCAGTATAGTTCAATTTCCAGCTTTTATAAAACTTTAAAGACAGTTAGTGATCAATTTTGTGCCACTTCGTTAAACGACATGTCGATAAGTTACCAATTCTTCGTTAAATTTCCTTGAACACCAGGCGAATTACTCATATTTTCCATTCTAACTAGTTGAAAACTCGTATTGTCATATATGTGTGCGAGAAATCACTGGAATAAAACGACTTCCATCTGCATATCCTGGCTATTTCAATATTAGGTGAGGCATCCTTTTACAATTGTTCTTTGTTATTTGTATATATCGTAGACTCTGCTATCAGAATCTCTTCAAATTTTATCAGAAATAAAAACCTTCAAACTGTCAATAGGAAAATTTTAAAAGAAAACAAGTAACCCGCTACAACGCTTTCTCAATAGCTGGGCCTGAAATATCCATATAAGGTCTCTTCTATAGTGGGCCTAATTAGTGCAGAATCCAAAATAAAATAAAAGTTTGACCTTCCATGAGTCAACTGTTAAATTTTTGGCCCCATTAAGAAAAAAATTGGAAAAATCGCCCCGGATCGGAATTTTAAAACACATTCACTAGTATTTTGAAGCACTCGCAAGAATTTTAAAGTGCCAGAATTCTGATGATCACCAGAATTTCAGCAATGATGCTGGAAAGTTTTGGTGATCCATCAAGATTTGTAGCAAAATCATGACGATTACCATAACTATTTTGTGCTTTAAAATTCTGGCAATTGGAGGAAAAACAATTGCCAAGCAAACTTTAAAATTGTGACATGGGTTTTTTCCCCTAACTTCTGTTATCGTAGTTGAAAAATCAATAGTTAACCAATTTTTTTCTTTTTTTGATTGTGGGGAGGTTATGAGTGGGGGAAGGACGAGGACAGGGTTGTTAGTAAGAATCAAAACCTTATTTTTTTCAAAGGGGATTATAGTTGTTAAGTATTATATTTTGGTCTCATTTAAAATTAGAAGAGTACGCTTGTTTTGTTATAATGGTTTATTGTGCTTTAGGAAACAAAGTTAAAAAAACTCTTGGTACTACTAGTGTATAAAAATTATTACCTAACTTGTAAATGGATCTTTGTGAGATTCTAAATACCTTCTAGTTAACGAGTGCGTATGAAGGATTTAATTTAGTTATATTTTGTGTGTTTACTACTCCCTCCGTTCCAGCTTAGGTAAACCTATTTCCTTTTTGGTCCGTTACATATTAGTAACGTCGTATTATCCATCCGAAGAAGTAGCAGGCCAGGCACTGGTCTTTCTATCTTCTGGCTGTTCCCAGAAGGAATTTCCGAGCTTTTGAAATAATAGCTGTGGCAAGAATGACTCATTTCTAAATTTGGAAACAATTTAGTTTAAATTCCAATTCTACCCTCAATGAGAAACCTTTATAACTACAAAAATACTCTGGGCCCCTTTTTGACTTGTCTAGGACTACAAATTCAAAAAGTCTTTATTTTTTCTTAAATTTCGTACCCAGTCAAACAGGTTCACATAAATTGGAACGGAGGAAGTAGTTATTTTTTGAGTAATTTTAATGACGTTTTTATTACAAAGCTCACTTTTGTATTTTGTTGATGCGCGACAAGTTATGAGCTTAAACATTAGAAGAAAAGGATAAAAAGGTTCAAGAACATATAAGATATAGTCTTTTGATATTTGAATATGATGTTCTAGAAATCGAATAGCGACAAATAATGAAGATTCAAGCAATAGATATTGGAATTTAGAGTTTGGATAAATAGTTTCTCTCAAAAAACATATAATCTCCCAATTTACGAAGAGTTTTATCATTATTATTCACGAAAAAAAAAATTGAGTTTAGTTTCAACGGTTTAAACGGCTTGTCATTTTGATACTCTTAAATAAAGTTATAATTTTTTATACAGAAAACTATCAAGTCTATGCACCCACCAGCGCGTCCAGGGCTTCAGGTGCACTGCAACACACTGTGGTGACAAGATTCTTTTTTCATGGTTAATTTTGGAATTTTCTTTCCTTACCCCTTGACCTATATAAGGTTTGAACTCGTCCTAATCATGTTATCTGAAGTTTTACAACCACACCAAAAGGTTTTTAACACTTTTGATTGAAGTTTTGAACGAAGGAACAATTGAGAGAGAGATTTTATTCTCCAACCTGATTGTAATATTTTTTTTCTTCTTCACTTTTCTATGCTTTATAACACGAAATCCTTTACGGAGTAATTTTTTTTATGAGAACTTGATGATGAATTAGTTTAGACTTTAGTTTCTTGTTTTAATATTCGCTGTGTATAATTGATGGTATATCCTTTGTTATTAACTCTATTACTATATTCAAGAGAAGTAATAAAGTTGATAATGTACTTGATTTGATTCTCGTTATTTAAGAGAAAACTATTTTATAGGACTAATTCTTTACAACCCATTTGTTCGAGAGAATAGTTATTTAAGCATCGAGATATTCATGAGAAGTTCCAATAATCATGACATTCGTTACTTATTGACCATACATTTGTTGAACTCTTAATGCCTTCTAGAATAATTAGACTATGGTTATTCGAGAGAAGATTTAGTTTGCTTGATTTTAGAGATAGATGATTAAATTCGAGCTTAGAAGTAATTAATATTTATGTTCAAAACTATATATTAACTCAAGAAGTGAAATTTGAATTAATCATCTCAAGTCAAGTCCCTTGTCTTCTTCCTTTGGTAAAACTTTTCAATATTAGTTTAGAACTTTAGACACTTTAAATTCCTGTTTTAGAAATTTAAGAAAACATACTTGAATTTTATACTTTCACTTAGCCAGTATGAAATTAATTGATAACTTATCCAGTCCATGTGAGTTCAACACTTTTCTATACTATCTTTGACGCATCACGAGCTTAATTGTATTACTGTATTATATGCTCGTCAAATTTTGACGTTGTTACCGAGGACTGACAACGATTGTGAATTGATTCTTAGTGTTTTTAGTATAGATATAATTTTATAACTTTTTTTAGGAATTACTTTCTCTGTTCCAATTTATGTGAACCTATTTTCTTTCTGGTCCAGTCCAAAAAGAATGACCCCTTTCTAAATTTGGTAACAATTTAGCTTAAACTTACAATTCTGCCCTTAATGAGAAGCTTTTATAACTACACAAATAATCTGGGCCCGTTTTTGGCTTGTTTAGTACCACAAATTTCAAAAGTCTTCATTTTTTCTTAAACTTCGTGCCCAGTCAAACAAGTTCACACAAATTCGAAAGGAGGGAGCAACTTTTTTTTTTATTTGTTAACTTGTCTTTAAGATTTCTTTTCTAGTGCCTGACACATGCTAGGGAGAATTGTTTGAAGAAAATATTCCTAATATTGAATTTCAAGTGTTATGAAGATGGAGTACAACCAGCC